TCATTGACAGTGTAATTCATTTCACAGATTAAAATTTTCCCTGAGAACCTTGGGATCATCACTAGAGCTATAAGTTGATGTTTTGTGTGACAATCTTGACAGGTGGTAGCCATTCTATGGAGAGAGACCAAGCCATGTGGAATAGAACCTGGTGCAATAGGTTTATCTTCTTGAATTTAACATTACCTCTTGCCCTAGATCCTTTCCGGCCCCTACTGGGCTTACAGGTCACTTCTAAACTCACAGAAACTCAACTATACTCTCATGACAGATAAACAAAAGGGTGGTCTTCATCACTTGCAGTGGATGAATAACAACTTTATATCTGGTTGGACTCAATTTAGCAAGACAATTCTTGGACCTCCAAACTGTTTTATAGATTATAACAGTTAACATTTCATTTCTCAAAGTGTTGTGATTTCTAGATTGGTGCAGTGCATCACAATGACAGGTGCAGTGCATCACAATGACAGGTGCAGTGTGTCACAATGACATGTGCAGTGGGAAGACATTCAAAAATTCAGAAAAATTAAAACTTCAAAATGCTATAAGTCTGCATGTCATGTTCTTATAGTTTGAAAACCGCAAGTATTTACATTTGATAAAATATTGTAACAATGACAATTATATCATACAAAATATTTCAAATGAATGCAGAAATGTGCCTCATCACATTTTCAATGAGACCGTGACATGTCTAGAATACATTTTCCTCTGTGTGGGTTCCGGGGCCCCATTGTGGAGAAAAAAACAAGAATAAACCCACTGCCTCCCCAACAAGCATGTCATAAGAGTCAACAAATTTGGGTGGGGGTTTTCTTTGAAGTCGGAGTCCATCTGACTGAGAGGCAAGTAACCAACAGTCTGCATTCAAATTAGTCAGATATGTAAAATGGTTGTGCATGCAACACTCAGGTTCTGAAATAAGTCCAGAAGTGGATGAACTACCAGAACTTTCCACTGGAGTTTACAACTGGTGAAGGCGAAGAATAAAAAGAGTAATACATTTTGAGAACCACTGCATTGTTGATAGTTCCAGACAAAATATCTTGAGTTGAGCTGAGTTAAGAACCAACATCAAACACTCAGGACATTCCCACAAGTGTTCCATCCTCATCTTCAGCAGCCAGTGCAAAGTTCCAGTTCCAGTGGTACCAATAACAGTCTGAGTGTATGTCCGTCCTGCCTTTCTTCTGTGTCCTCAGCATGGACCAGATTTCCTGGGCACTTTCTGTTGCATCATTCTCTTCAGATTGGGATGATCTACTTGTGCATCCACACTCTTCACTCGCTCACAAAGGGCTTTAGCCACATGTAGCTTCTCATGCATCACTTTACTGCTAAGCAAGGCAGAACCAGTCATTCTGTCTGCCTGATCATTTCCCAATACACTTGCATACCAGCGAGTAAATATCCAAAAGACATCAACTACAAAGGCCATCTGGAATTATGCTTACAACTCTGCATGGAACATACCCGTCTCCAGCATTTTCAGCTATTTAGATTTTACTTATAGAAGGCTGAGTCCAACCCATTTTAAAATGTCATCTAAGGTCCCAATAGAACTTTTAAGCTGTGACCTATAGAACACATGGAAAGGAAGATCCCATAGGAAGTTTTAAGCTGTGACCTATAGAACACATGGAAAAGAAGATCCGATAGGAAAGTTTTAAGCTGTGACCTATAGAACACATGGAAAGGAAGGTTGCATAGGAAGTTTTAAGCTGTGATCTATAGAACACATGAAAAGGAAGGTTATATTAGAACTTTTGAGCTGTTATCTATATATAACACATGGAATGGAAGGTCACATCTTTCATGCGGACAGAGTTAAGACTAAATAACATTGTGCTTCCACTGCGAATTTAAATATAGACTTAAACAATATGTTGCACAATTAACGGTCTGGTAATTACAGTTTGTGTATTTTATTGAAAGGATTAGTTTTTGTGGTTCTTATCTGTTAAAATAATCTCTGCAGTAGGCAGCAGCTGTGAGCATTCAGGTAATCAAGAAATTGCAATTCCTACGTCATATCAGTGGGATCATACCATCGTTATTTCATTGTTGTGCCACAGAAAACCACACAGAAAGTCCATCACTGTCTCTTGTGAAAACATTGACTGCGGCCTCAGCAAAGCCACTGACTGACTGACTTTCTACCCCACCAGGACATCACACAAGCGACAAACACCCAATGACACAATGTGCCACTATGCAGGTAAGGATCACTGTGGAGAAGTCCCAAAAACCACGTTCAGCCTTTAGGCCATATTTATGGCCAGGCTTTATTGCGGCCCCTGGTAACAGCCAGAGCAGGGCTTCAAATAACGAAAAATGTCATACTTAAAAAGGACAGGATATTTTAAAAATAAAGCAAATCCACTAGCATACACCTGCACTAAATGCATAAGGTAGTAATCAGAAGTGTCAGCACAAACAGTGGATACAGTGAAATGTGTTAGAAAATTAATTGTGTTACATATCTGTAAATTTATGATTTACAGAAACAGTATGGACATACGTTTCCACTGGCATTCAGAATAAGAATGGGAGAACAAAAGGAATAAGTGAATCGAGGAAAGAAACTAAGAGATCAGTAAAATATTGTGGCCTTATTAACTCTTTGAGTCCCAAGGAACGCATGATACTTTCATAGGTTCCTACCTAGAAGCCCAATGAATGCATGATGCGCCGATTTTATAACTGTCTTTACTACCCCCGGTCTGTGATGCTAAACCCCCTGGGACTCAAAGAGTTAAGAAACATAATGCTCTTATAAAAACTATACTGCAAGAAAAAATTTGAGGCAAATAAGCAAAAGGCAGACAGTGAAACAAGAGGTAGAATAGCTTCAAGAGATGGATAAACAGCAGTCTGAGAGTACATCCAGGGCAAAAGACAAGACTGCTGGAGATCCATAGCAGCCAACCTTCACTGAGGAGATGACACCTGATTGACTTATTCTAGATAGCTTGTGTAGCAACCACATGGCTGCTGCATCAAAGGATATAATACAACTGGGTCAGACCGAAGTGCTAGGATGTTGATATGGATAACCAGTTACAACTAACGAGCCAATGCTGCCTGTTTTTGCCACTTTTGTGGTGTAGGCATGTGACAGGGAGGTGGGATGGGGAGGGGGGTGTCTTCTAGCATGAGGATTTAGGGCCACATGGCTAGTACTGTTGCCACAGACTGGGCATGTCAGCATTAACCTTACAGTGGACTCGAACACAGGTCTCGCACGTGGGAGTTCTTCATTCTAAACTGTTCAGCCAGCCACCCCTCCATGTAACAAGCATCTAAGATTTGAGTATAAATATCTCTATAATCTGACAGTTTAAAAAAAACAAAAAAATTTAGGGTGGAATACACATCATCATCAGCTGCCTTGTCGACTGGCGTGGGCGATAATGCCTCCCCATAGTCTATGATTTCTTGCAGCATGTATCAGTTCGTGTGCCGACACACCTCCATGCCTTGCAACAAGACTGTCAAGAATCTTCTCTCATTGTCTTCCTCTATCCCTCCTTCCACAGATCTTTCCAGTGGTCACAACATGTTCTATTTTCCCTCTTCTCATAATATGGCCGAAAAAATGATGACTATCTCCTTCTGATGTCTGTGATAAGTTGTCTTCGGGCTCCCGCCTCTTTCAAAACCTTGTGGTTGCTCTTTTTGGCTGTCCAAGGTATTCTAAGCATTCTTCTGTAAAACCACATCTCTGAAGCCTCAAGAAATTGTTTGGCCTGCCTACTGATTGTCCAGGATTCACAGCCATATGTTAAAACTGGATGTATGTAGCAAGCACATAGTTTTAAAAAAACAAAAAAATGTAGGGAGAAATACAGACACACACACACACATACACAGGCACACATACACACACATGCAGATAAAGGTTGCCCCTGAAACATCCAACGTGGCGTCACTTTGTCAATCTTGTAACTGCTGTTACCAGTGGTTGCTGAGACATTTCTCTAATTTTTTTTTCACCTCTTCTTGAATTCATACAGTAACAATAACTATCGTTCTGTCGCTCGGCTACTGAGTAAAGTCCATGGCGTGACACTGTGAGCTGCAGATTTAATTTGGAATGCTTTTTTTTTTGACTGCGTCAAATTGGTTTGTGGCATGTTGCCAGAGAACCTATCGGTTAGATACATCCAGTTTTAGGAAATCTCTTAGTTATGACATGATTTCATGGGAAAGAGGGTCTATCTGCCCCCCCCCCCCCCATCAAAAGGCCCCAGACCCACACAGGGAATATGGTATCTGTGCAAGAGGTGAATAAATTAGAGAACAAAGCATCAGATAATGTTCAAGCAGGCAAAGCACTGGCGTATTGTATCAAATAACAGCAAATCATTGAGTTCTTACGTTGTGCTCTTATATAATTATGATGGTGATTGTTACAATGATGATGATAATTGTGATAATTTGTCATGGTACTGATGATGATGATGAAGGAGATGATGATAATGATGTGGTAATGGTGGTGATTGTCACTATGGTGGTGATGATGATTATGGTGATGATGATGAGGAGGAGGATAGTAGTTGGTTGTATTAAAAGCAGGTTCATGCTGATAAGGATGATGATGCTGATAAGGATGATGAGGATGGTAATGATAATGGTAATGATAATAGTGAAGATAATGATATTGATAATGGTAATAATAATGGTAATAATAATGTTGATGGTACTGATAATGATGATTACTTTGCAGAACCGTTTGAACTGTTATATACAAGACATTACTGTGTAAGATGTCACTGTGAGGCACACAAACAGTCCGGTCTACACTGCAGCAGCAGATACCAGTCTACGAAGCCACTGTCCTCATATTCGTGGAAATTTTTTATTCATGATACAAAGGGGGCAGGCTGTAATCCTGGTTAATTAGCCAATGATAAAGATTCGATAGGCGTGTCTGTAAGATGTTACCAGGAGACACATAAACAGTCCGGACTACACTGGAGCAGCAAGTACCAGGTCTACAAAGCTGTTGTCTTCATATTTGTTGACAATATGTACTCATCATACGAAGGGGGTGGGCTGTGATCCTCATTAGGCAGGCAATGAGATTCGTTGGGGGTGTCCGGCTCAGATATGGAACCAATCACAATTCGTGGTGGAAACGGAGTAGGGTAAATGTCTTCTTCATCTTCAACCTCATTGGCTGGGTTTGTGTAGGCGTGCACATATGCATCAGGATAAAGGTAGTCGCTGTTGGTTACTATGTCGTACGAAGGCGGGTCGTCACTGTACAATCGTGACCTGGAGAAAGTGGTAATATGTAACAGGTTTAGAATAATAAAAGTATATATCTAAACACACTTGATTGCAGGTCAAAGATATAAGTGTTTTATAGGCTTCAACAGGGTCGATCTTATCTTCGTCACCCCCCTTGTGGCATACAGTTTTGTGTTTTTTTGAAGCCCCACCCTGGCTGTTTCCAGGGGCCCCAATACAGTTAAACGCGGTTTCTGGTACCTCTCCAGGGGTGATCCTCATCTGCATGGTGGCACTTCATGTCACCAGGTATTTATCGCTCTGTGTGATGTCCTAGTATGGAAATACTTACCTACTAACAGGGTTTCAAGGATTGGAACCTTTTTGATTCTTATCAATGAGATGTTTATTCTACAGTCCCAGTCCTGGAGAAGGGAGTTATACACACACAAACACGTGCACACACACACACACACACACACACACACATATGCGTGCCCACACACACATGCGCACGTGCACGCATGCACACACACACACTTACATACAGATAAAGAAAATCATGGACAAAGAAGAAGAAAAATACTGACATCAAAAAAGATCGGGACATCAAAGAATATTAGCTAGTAAATAGCATCTTGACTTGGGGAATGAAATATTTTGGTCCCAGGAAAGAGATATAGAGGCCAACCTGCAGGAATGTGGGCAGAGGATAGGACGTCTTGGGTAGGAATGTGCATGAAGAGAGACAGAAAGAAAGAAAGACAGAAAGAAAGACAGAAAGAAAGAAAGAAAGAGGAGGAAGAATATATGTATCTACTTCGCGTACATGTGTTTTTGTAAATAGGTAAATATTACGTTCGTGCGCATGTGCGTGTATGTGGTGTGCGTGTATGTATGTGTGTGTTGTATTATATTATTTGTGGACGTTGATGTATTGCTTTCAAAGAATACAAACTATAGCAAACATTGCCCATACGTTTTATCGACCTGGAGCGACAGAAGGACAGAACAAATAAAGGCTACATGTAGAAAACAGCGCAGCAAAGTTGTGCCCATAATTCCACGCTGTCGGGTAGAGCGAACCGCAGCGATGTTTATCTTTGACCATTGATTCAGTTGCCAACACGAACTTCCAACTTCGTTTACGACGGGCTCGCCAAAAACTGGGAAGTGGGACAACTGAATGAGCTGTAGACACGGGCTGGTAACAGAGGGTCTGTATGCTGCAGAGCTGCAGATGGTGAGGGAGGTGGTTCGCGGAGTGTGGGCGGCCGAGACTAAATTTTTATAGCATAGAGTCTGAATGTATTGTAGAGACCACGTGTTGCCGTGCATCAGAATTACTGTCTCAGTCTGTTCTGCTTACTACAAAAGAAGTTACACCATATGTTTGGAATGAAGCCTGCTACAAAAGCTGTCAGATCAGGAAGAGCGGCTTGTCGAAGCTTTCCAGCTAGATCAACTGCCAATCAAGGATAAGGATGTTGCCTGCCCTGTCATAACATTAAGTGGAACTAACATAAGTAAAGGTCTCTTTTCCACGCCCTTAGGCTTAAAGGGCATATAGGGCTAGACCTATTTTTATAGACACATCGGCTGGGTGGTCTGCTAGTCGCCTTTACTTCCCGGTACCCTTGAGTAGAGGTAATTTAAAAAAAAAAAAAGCCTGGTTTAGCCAGTGAGCGAACACACGACCTTACGATCCGCACGCAAGCGTCTTGCCGCTACGCCACGGCGACTCCCGGTACTAACATGCTCAAGTGATAAATAATGTATTAATCTATAAAACAAATCATCTTCTGGTCTATGAATACAGAGCAAAACAAAAGAAAAAGTAGGTAAAAGTAAGTAAAGAACCATTTTCCTCGCCTTTAGGCATATAGGGCTAGACCTATAATTTTTGTAGATCAGTCGGCATCAGGCCGGTCGCCTTTACTTCCCGAAACTGCAACCGGTACCCACTCAAGGCTCGTTCGACCTGGAAGCCAAGGGCATTTCTGAAAAAAAGTCCGGCTTAACCCGCGACCTTCCGATCCGCGGCGAGCGTCTAGTCGCTCTGCCACGGCGACTCCCAAAAAGAAAAAGTAGCAACTGAATTCTTTTACCGCGCAAAACTGACTCACGATGAGAAATGACTGTCCAGACCACAGATCTACTGTCTTTGGTCAAGTCATGAGAAGTAGAACACTGGAGTACCTCGTGGCGTGGCGGTGAAAAGGTTGGCGGGGAAAAGAGGCCGACTCAGAGACGAGAGAGAAGATGCTCCACAGTTTGACGTACGGAAGATCATCTGTGTTATAATTGGTTGAAAGTACACGACGCAGAAAGTCGTCAATATTTATTACCACCAACGCAAAACCTACAGGGACTATGAAAGATCAGCAATGTCAGAATTCATTGAAACAACATTTAATGGTGGACAGAAAGGGGAGGGATGAGAGAGAGAGAGAGAGAGAGAGAGAGAGAGAGAGAGAGAGAGAGAGAGAGAGAGAGAGAGAGAGAGAGGCGTTTCTGACTGTATTTAGTGCTTTCAAAGCATTGCAAGACACGGACAGTGACGCATGAGCTTCTTAGACCCCATGGATAATGCAGACTCCGCGAAATTGCAAGTTAGAATGTTGTTATTTTGCCTGTGAGGGAAAGAAATGTCCACTGCTACGGACTTGATCCCCAGTCTCCTCCACGACAGCCCAGTGCACTAACCACTCAACCAGCCTCTCCTGATTTGTAAATGAAAATAATGCAGGAAAAAAAACCTAAGCCAATTCGGTGGCCAGCGGAAGTTGGCATCACTTTCCCATCAGACACTATGTCGATGCTGTTTGTGAACGCGTGTCAGAGCTTCAACTGGCCAGACAGACGTGTGATTTCTCTCAGAGTTACCTCGTTAAGTGATTTGTGTGTGTTGTGTTCAAAACTGTAACATTGTGTATTGATGTAATGTTATAAAAAGTTATAAATACACACAGTTATATATATACATAGTGTAAGTTCTCTGAAGAACAAAAGGTCGAAACTTTTGGACTGAAAGGATACAGAAAAAGTTTTACAATGCCTTGGACCGTGAAAAAAAAACACGCTAACTTCAAGAATGATCTCAAGAACAAGGAGAATTGGCTCATAAACAGCATCCTGGCCCGAAAGCAGAGTATTTTGACCATGTTAAACACTAAGGTGACCTGGAGAGAACGATGATGGAGGATGCTGTTTCTGGAACAACGAGGCAGAGGTGGGGGACCTCCGTCATCGTGGATACAGGATACTGAAGATCCATTGGTTATGAAGCGCCGAAGAACTAGCTAGAGAAAGAGATACCTTCAGCTGTGCCGTAAAGAGAGCCACGTTCTGTAACAGACCTGCTGATTTATGATGAATGACAGAATCTTGTACACAGTCAACGATGTTCAATGCAAATACTATGAAAGTCATAACACTAAAAGAAAAAAGAAAACCCACACAGTGTTAAAGTTAGCTTTACAAGAACACAACCATATAAAAATGGACTATATTACAGTTTCTTATATCCCCCCCCCCCAGCTTTTTCTTAAAAAGGACAGCTGGTACATTGATTGTTGATTACAGATATACTTCGACATCTGGGCCTTTCTGTCCAACAAACATGATTTCAGCAAACTCCTAATTAAACGCATTTTACGACACGCTTGTTAAGGGGCATTGGGTGTATTCTTTGATCCTCAAAATGGGGCCTCAGAACCCCCACTGGGTGACATGGCAATTATGACATTGTAAATAATAAATAGTTCCCCATATTATGTCGACACAAGACAACCACAAATCAGTGAACAAGTCACTCACCGGGAGGAAACGTGGTACAAGTCGGATACTTCCAAGTCACAATGGCTGAAGGTGGAATTTCGCTGTAACTGCAACAAGGAATGAAAACATCAAAAACTATTTTCTACATTTAGCTGTTATTTCTTCTAACTCAAGCCCAAGACAGAAGCAGCTCAGCACAGTGCGTAGGCTCTGTAGAACCCTCGAGGATTCTAAAATACTTTGGGGACATTTGTAACTCTAAACGTTTGACAGGACAGCGCCATTAGGCTACTCTTTTGGATTTCCAACTGCCAAAGGATTTTTTTTACATGCGCAGAAATGCACACGGGCGTCCGATCGCACTACTCAGATACCAGGGGTAATTACTGGAAGTCCAAGTTCACGTAAAAAAATCCCAGCCTTTACCGGGGACTGAACCCGAAACCTCTAGCACTTGAGGCAGACACCATGCCTCGAGACCACGCAACTCCCCCCCCCCCCCCCCTTTTTTTCCTTTCCCGAGCATTGAAACATAAAGGCATTCATTGCTCATGTTTCCAGTCATCATCATCATGTAGCAAGTCCTTTGCAGAACCTTGCTCTAATCACGGTCTGCCTGAAAGAAACTCGGGTCTCTCGCCAGCTCTCCCGTCTCGTGCACATTCCTACCTGAGGTATCAGTTATATCTTGCACCCATCTTGTCGGCGTCTGTGGCTTAGGCGTTGCGAGCTCGCTTCTTAACGTCGTGGTGCCGGGTTCGATCCCAGCTGTGGGCCTTGCACCTTGCGTTGGTCTTGACTGTGGCATCAAGAAAATGACCGTCCAGAAAGCAATGGTAATCTGCTGAACGTAAATTTGCCTAGAAAAACCGCAACAGCCGAAAAATTCTGGGGTTGCTTCTGCAACGTCCTGTAAAGGAAACGAAATTAACTAACTAACCCATCTGCGAGACCCCTGCCCTCTTTAATGGTACTTTGTCTTCTGGTTTCCATTCAATGATAGCTACTACCAAACATCAACAAATAAAATCTACACCGCACTGATCAGTTCCTACATGGTTTAGTGTAGTCAACGGATCAACATCATGGCACACGGGTATCAACTCATAAATGCTTCGTTATGCTTCTAACTCAAGCCTGAGTTAGAAGTGTCTCAGCGCAGTGCACGAACTCCGTTGCGCTCTAGTTTGGGTAGATTTTCAACTCCACATTTTGCCCGGGCAGCGCCCTTAGGCTATTATTTTCGATTTCCAACATGAGCAACAATACACACGAGCATCCGATCTGACTATGGGAAATTACTAAATTCCCAGCTCTCACCGGGTCTTGAACCAGGGACTTCCAGCACTCGAGGCGGATGCCATACCTCGAGACCACGCAGTCGCCCAGTTCACACAATGTCTCCGGATCCTAACAATAAGATAGCACAGGTAGCCCACACCAGGGATTTAAACCCATAATTACCACGTAGGTAGGAGAGTGTGCCACATACTGTGCCAAAATGGTCCTCATTATCAAATGTCACGGAACCTAATGAATATTCACTTAGTGAATCCAGAGGTGAAGAAAAGACACAGGCACTGGATACGACAGGACACATTTCGAGGGAAATCGAGAATCATATACATCGTACTGAAACCAAAAAAGCAACATAAACAGAGTAGTGATTATAAATATACGAAGTAAAGAATTAGAAATATAAATGAATCTGTGGCAGAACATGGTAGTAGATTAAGTGGCCGTCTTTGTGAGCTCGCTGAGGATTTATGCTTCAGGGTTTATTAAGAAAGAAAGAAAGAAAGAAAGAAAGAAAGAAAGAAAGAAAGAAAGAAAGAAAGAAAGAAAGAAAGAAAGAAAGAAAGAAAGAAAGAAAGAAAGAAAGAAAGAAAGAAAGAAAGAAGAAGAAGAAGAAGAAGAAGAGAAGAAGAAGAAGAAGAAGAAGAAGAAGAAGAAGAAGAAGAAGAAGAAGAAAGAAGAAGAAGAAGAAGAAGAAGAAGAAGAAGAAGAAGAAGAAGAAGAAGAAGAAGAAGAAGAAGAAGAAGAAGAAGAAGAAGAGGAAGAAGAAGAAGGTGGTTAAAGAGAAAAGGACTCATCAAAAGAAGGAGAGGAATGCAGAAGGAAAACAAACCCTATAATCAACCTCCAATAGTCAACAGTAGGCATTGTTAATTAATAAAATAACTGTGAGGACAAGATTGCGTAACTCACGGCAAAGATTGGTCTGCTGTAGATTTCCCTGATGTAGCGACGCAGCAAGGACTGTCGTCTGGAAGACAAGGTGGTTCTCCGCGGCCACAGCCGACCCAGCGCCCCTCGAGCCATCACTAGCACTCCGGCAGCGATCAGCACCGGCCCAGCATACCTGGCGGCAGATTGACACAGCTGTTGATGTTCAGGTTTGGAACATGGCACACTATCACTAACTTTTTCAGTTGAATATCCTTTACAAGTGTACCAAATCAGAAGGGGGAGGGGGGGTAGGGGGGGGGGCGCAGAAGGCTTGGCTCTCTGAGAATAGATAATAAAGGGTCTAATCCTTGTTCCAGTGTGCAGTAATATTTTGGTAATATTATTGTTATGTGCTGACTGACATAAAGTATTTGAAATACTGTGAAATAGAGAAACAATTACTTGAAAAGTGAGGGCCGCCTAAAAAATATGGCGTGGGATGCCAACAGGTTCCGGCGCCCCTGTGTGCTGCTTGGTTGTTAACTCATCCCTATTTACAGCTAGTACTAGAAGCCCCACCCCTATCTTACAGCACAGTGTAATCCCAATCAGCACAAAGAAACGTCTCATGCAAAGCATATTCATTTCCATCCTATGCTACCAGTGCCAGACGTGGTCATTCACACACACACACACAAAAAGTAAAAGGAAATTAGTAACCATGGAAATTAGCTTTTGAGAAAATCTGTAGGCCTGACCAGAAGAGATAAAATCAGGAATGAGGTCATACGAGATAAAGTCTGCACAGAACCAATTCTAAATTACATACAAAGACAGCAATAAGAAAAAAACTCCACAGGGGAGCATGTACAGCAGGGGTCTACCAATCATCAGTAGAAGTTAACCTCTCGTCGACAAATGTTTCGGCCCACGAGCTCCTAGACATTCTCAGAGAGTGGGCCCACCTGAGTTCATGAAGCTGAGGGTTGGTTTCCCCTGCTGCACGAAATTACCGGATGTTGTTCCGATAGGGACAAGACGAATTGGTGATTTGGCAGAAGGTACTGTGACATAAGAAGTGGTCGCGGTAGCATTAAGTAAGAATAAACTCACAGGGAGCAAGTACAGCGGGGATCTACAGTCATCAGTAGAAATTATCCTCTTTCGACACACGTTTCGGCCCACGATTCCTAAACGTATTCGGAGGTGGGCCCACCTGAGTTCATGAAGCTCAGGGCTGCTTCCCCGCCGCACAGAATTACCGGATGGTGTTATACTTTCGGCCAGAGACAAGACGACTTGGTGGTTTCGAAGGAGGTACTGTGAGATAAGAAGCCGCCACGGCAGCGTAATTAGAACAGTCCGCATGCCTGGACGACCGAGCGACAAGCTTACTTTGGTTTACCGGACACATCTTGGACTTTTATCAGCAGTTGGCAGAGGAACACTGGCAGACAATTCGTACACGATGGACTTTTCAAAGGGATAAGAAACTCTTTTCCACTAGATACCCGGACCAGCTCACCGAGGCCCGTCCCCTACGTTGTTGCGCTGCGTCCAAAGCCAGCTGGACGCCCTTTCGGCCACCTCACCAAGTTTTTTGAGTGCCCGTTTCCGTTCATTACCGCGCAATCCTAACTCTTTTACCACATTGTAGAGCGAAGTGGAAACGAGGCCTCTCGCTCCCACTTCGACGGCAAATACCCGCACTGTGTAAGCCTCGTTTTTCCTCAAACCGGCTGCTAAATCACTGTACTTCTCGAGCTTGTACAAATGATTCTCCTCCATCCGCGACTCAAACGGGACAGTCAACTCAATCAGAATGAGCTGCCGTTTTTGTGCAGAATGGAGAACGATGTCCGGTCGCAGGCCGGTTTTACGGATCAACTCGGGATACCGTTCATGTCCTGGCAGATCAACCGCCAGCAACCAGTCCCTCGCAGAATCTAGCGCAGATGGAGCGAATGCGATTTGGTTGACCTTACCTTTTGGAACCTGCCCAGCCTTGAGGAAACGAATGGGGACGATACTAGAACTGGCTCTGGCATTAGCCCTCATTCTAGCCTGGTCGACAACGGCTGCTAACTCCTTTAGCACCTTGTTGTGGCGCCAGGTATAGCGGCCTTGACCTAGAGCTTTCCTGCACGCGGACAGGACGTGCTCAAGAGTTTGCTTTGATTTGCACAACGGGCAAGTCGGATCGTTGGTCGCAGACCATTTAACCATGTTAACACCGGACGGTAATACATCGTACGCCGAACGAACGATAAAGCTCAATTAAAGCAGTCTGCATACCTGAACGACAGAGCGGCAAGCTTAAGATTGGTATACCGACAAATGTTGGACTTTGTTGGCTGGTGGCAGAGGGATACTGGCAGACAATTCGGACACGATGGACTTTCAAGGGATGAGAAATTCTTTTCCTCTAGACACCCGGACCAGCTCACCGAGGCCCGTCCCCTACGTTGTTTCGTTGTGTCCACAGCCTGCTCGAGGCCCTCTCAGCAACCTCGCCCAGCTGTTTAAGTGTCCGTTTGCGTTCATTACCGCGCAATCCTAGTTCTTTACCCACATTATAGAGTGAAGTGTAAATGAGACCTCTCGCTCCCACTTCGACGGCAAAGACTCGTACTGTGTACGCTTCGTCTCTCCTCAGATCGGCTGCTAAGTCACTGTATTTCTCGAGCTTATACATGTGGCTTTCGTCCATTCGCGACTCATACGGGACGGTCAGCTCAATCAGGATGAGCTGCCGTTTCTCTGCAGAGTGGAGAACTATGTCAGGTCGCAGGCCGGTCTTCCGGATTGACTCAGGGTACTTTTCATGGCCAGGCAGATCAACCGCTAGTAACCAGTCCCTCGCAGAGTCTAGCATAGATGAAGCGAATGCGCCTTTGTTCCTTTGTTGAGGAAGCGTATGGGGACGAAGGTAGGACTGGCCCTCGCGTTGGCCCTCATCCTAGCCTGATCCACAACAGCTGCCAACTCTTTTAGCACTTTGTTGTGGCGTCAGGTGTATCGGCCTTGACCTAGGGCTTTTCTGCATGCGGACAGAACGTTTTCTAACGTCTGCTTCGCTCTGCACAGCGGGCAAGTCGGGTCGTTAGTCGCAGACCACTTCACCATGTTGACACCGGACGGTAATACATCGTACGCCAAACGAACGATAAAGCTCAGTCGCAGCGGGGTCATTCGCCAGATCTCACCCCATGTGAGTACTCTTGGCAATGCGCTCTCCAGGCTGACAAAATAGCCTTGCTGCGACTGCTGGGCTGCTTTCTGGACGCGAACATCGTTTCCGTTGTCCCTAACTTGCTGTATTACCATGTCTCGACGCTCTTTGGTTGTGGCTTTGGACCACCAACTGACCCAGGCCTCGACGGTCGGTTTGAGTGTATCCCATAATCTCCTTTAATTTTAGTGCATTCTGGGTAGATTAGATCGCATCGAAGACTCTCCACTTCTGACAAGTCTTTAGAGCGGGCTGGACAGCGATGACATTTGGGTCTAAAGACTCGCGCAAGAGCATGGTGAGTCTTACTTTGCCGACTTTAAACTCTTCGGTTATCGATTTGAACGGGAGTACCAGCTTAGCCTGCTTACAATACAGAGCCACCTCAGTCAGACAAGGCGGTGCACCAATCCACTTTCTTAAGGCTGTGTTGATTTTTTTCTCCGTCTCCACTGCAGTCATCGTCACTTCGTAGACTAACAGCGGCCAGAGGAGCTTTGGAATCAATATGAATTGGAGACACCAAACCTTGAACTTTCCGATCAGCCTGCTACGCTCGATCACGAGCAGGCCTGTAGCCAGTGACTCGTGTATTCGCCGGACCTCCGCTCTATCAGATAACTTCGAATCCTAAACGTGACCAAGGCTCTTCACCGGTTCCTCCAGAACCGTGTGGATCTTATTCCTTGCCACCGTAAAACTGGTTGCCGACACCCTGTCCTTAAGGATTGACAGACTCCTCGACATCTGCGGTTCGAATTGCATCCCGTTCCATTGGACCACCGCGTCCAATCTTTTCAGGATCGTGCGGGCAGACTTCTCGCTGCCCGTGATTATAGTCGTGTCCTCCATAAATGCGCGTAGTGGCGGCATCCAATGATCCCCGGTTTGAAGGCCCTGTCCGTAGCCGGCCGCCCAGTCTATCATGATCTGCATGGCCATGACGAACAGTATTGGCGAGATTGTACACCCCATAGCTATCCCAACTTGTAGCTCAGTCCACCTCGTGGTAAACGCCGAGGTAGAGAAGCGCAAAGCGAACTTAGAGAAATATAGCTCGATCATGTCGTTGATCTGTGCCGGTACGTGAAACATGCGAAGGGCCTGCCACAGTAGCCTATGGGGAACTGCCCCATAGGCGTTGGCGAGGTCCAACCATATAGCGTGCAATTTGGTTCTCTCATGCTTGGCTCTCTGAATAGACTCCCAAATCATGGTCGCGTGTTTAAGGCACCTAGGGTCGCCTGGGATACCACCCTTTTGAACACTCGTATCGATGTACTTGTTCGCCATCAGATACTGTGTGAGCCGGCGAGCCGTGACCGAGAAGAATATTTTACCCTCGACATTCAACAGCGAGATGGGCCTGAATTGGGAAAGACTCTTCGAGTCCTGCTCTTTGGGAATGTAGACCCCGTTAGCCTTTTGCCACTCTGGACATATGTGTTTTCGGCTCCACCCTTGTCTCAACAAGCCGTGAAGCATTCGTAGGACTTTCGGGCAACGCTTGTAAAGAACGTACGGAATACCATTCGGACCTGGAGCAGACTTGCCGCTGGCTTTTTTTACAATTTCCTCAACCTCAGACCAAAGGGGAGGTATCACTTTAAATGAAACTTTTGGCAAATCAGGCTGCTTGAGGCCGCTAAGGATCTCTGGATTGTTATCGAGAGGCTCATTCCTCTTCTTGTCAGAGTACATTTGGCGTAAATGTGACTCAAGCTCCTCTTTACTGACAACCAGAGTCCCAGACTTCGGTTGCTCGAATAGACCTCGGGCAAACTGGAACGGGTCCCTAAAGAATTTCTCTCGCTCCTTTTTGGTTCTTCTCCTGTTGTTACAGAAACGCTCAGCGCGACAGAGGGCACTGTGTCTGTTCTTTAAATGCAACCAGACTTCATGCAGCCCCTCCCGTTCGCTGCCTGTAGCGGCTTTGAACCGTTTTCTGGGGGCATTCTTGTCTACCTGACACTTCAGAATGTCCCTCTGTCTCCTGCTTATATTCTGCTTGACGCCCGGCGGCAATTTTTCCACTGTCCCGAACTCACGGGAACAGTGCTCGTATATTACATCACCAAACTTTGTAAGCTTGTCGCCTAACGACTTCTTTTTTAAATCATGAATTATTTTCTCACATAATGTACCTTCTAACTTGCACCACGACACCTTATCGCTCGCAGGTGGAAACTTGATCTTGGAACGCACTTCCTCAGGAATTATCAAAAGTAAGCCTCCGTTGTCAACGTCATGGGCCTCTCCGGGCGAGTGGGGTTCACACTACCCGTCGTTCCCTAACGACTCAGAAACTACCACAGGAGTAGTAGTTTTGCGACGGCGTTTAAGGCGTGGGGCACCCTCGCATTTCATCCTTCCGGCATGCGTTTTCAGACCATGCAACCCAGTGAAGCTCTTTCCACATGTACAGAGCCAGCCCGGACGTTGGGCAAGAATTGGAGTCCGGGGGCTAGCATTGTCGTCACCGTTTGTATCAATTTGATTTGACCCATCATTCTCCCCCTCTTTCAAAGGGCCCTGGGGGCATCTTTCTATATTGGTTTGCGAAAGCAGAGGTATTAAACTGTGTTAGGGGTGATCAACCCGGTCCACAGTCGACAGCAAAACAAATAGTCTGCCGACTTGGAGAGAATACTTTCTGATGCTATACCATAAAAGGCATATAAGAAAAGAGGAGAAGAACATTATAAAGAGGTAGACCAAGAACAAGATGGGAAGATAACGTCAGAGAAACTCTACAGCACTACAATGTGTCTGTGGTCGAAGCAACCAGAAGAGTACGAAGCAGGACCTTATATCTTATATTTCCAGTCACAGTTTTTGGTGTAGTTACTACTCCGCTGATAAAGAATTTAGTCGAAATGTTCGACTGTATTTGTGGGTGTCTTCTGGATTCCCTCTGCTGAGCTTGCTGTCACATTTCTATGTTGTGTTCAGCATTTTAATGAATACAAGCCCGGCTCTCTATCGTAGTTGGCTAAACCAGATTGCGAGGAGACCGGGTGACGAAATCCTTGTGGTCCGGGTTCAATCCCGGGGGTAGGCAGGAAAGCCACATTTCTCCCAGATTTACGGTATTTACAATGGAATCAAGGCCGAAAGGTTGCTATATCCATAATACCGAGCCTAAGGGTTAACAACTCATGGCTTCTGGATACTAAAACAAACAAACAAACAAACAATGAATACAAAGCTGTGTGGTACATGTGGAGATTTGGACTGCATGATAATTTTCATCAATGGGCTGATAACTTCCTTCTTATGTACGTTTTTTCTGACAGTGATCGAACGTTTTTCTGACAGAGTGATCGAACGTTTTTCTGACAGAGTGATCGAACGTTTTTCTGACAGAGTGATCAAACGTTTTTCTGACAGAGTGATCGAACGTTTTTCTGACAGAGTGATCGAACGTTTTTCTGACAGAGTGATCGAACGTTTTTCTGACAGAGTAATCAAACGTTTTTCTGACAGAGTGATCGAACGTTTTTCTGACTGAGTAATCAAACGTTTTTCTGACAGAGTGATCGAACGTTTTTCTGACAGAGTGATCGAACGTTTTTCTGACAGAGTGATCGAACGTTTTTCTGACAGAGTGATCGAACGTTTTTCTGACAGAGTGATCGAAGAAGAAGTAAACTATCAACGTGGATTGATGGTTAGTGAGCTTACGGTCGAGACACTAATCCTGGTTCGATCCCCAAAAGCAGCATAATTTCCACAACGTTCTGGAAGAAGAGGTCACTGGCGTCCCCACCTCATGTGTGAGGCCTAGAAAGTGCTAAGGTCCAATACATGTCGCCACAACAGTGATATCTGTTAGAGGGGTCACTATTTTCTCAACTAATCCAGGATTATCAGCCCTGTGTTAAAAATGTTTCAATGAATTTTTTTTTCCATGACAGGAATTTACTGCACACAATTTTCGTCATTTGATAAAATGTTGTTTTTGCCTGCTCTGTTATATTCTATATCCGTTTTCATCTGGTGTTACCTGTGTACCTTCTGTACTTGCTCTGAGAGCAGGCTGTTGTCTTTAATTATACATTAAGACACAATTATTGTCTTTGATATTACCAGCCAGAATGAAATCCTAAAGACTCGAATTTCTGTCATAAAAGCAACACACTATTATATTTAGACCGTGAATTGAATGCAATAAACTCTGCAACCATAATTTTAAAATATTTAAGACTGGGGGATCAGAACTTTGCCCTAAATCAACAAGCACCATAGAATACAGAGCATGTGTTGCAGACACGCTCTCAGTGCACAATATGGAGATCCCAGTTCTAGCCAGTTAGCTTTCAGGCAGAAACCAAGCTGTGTGCAAGCGTCACACCACAGCCTTCACACAGATAGTGGCCATTTCATTAGAACACCATTGGCAGGGAGGACGGAAAGAAACAACATCACAATGACTGTACTTGTTCTTCCCTATTCATAGTCATAGATGATGTCTGCTTGTCTCATTGAATGAGCCTCCAGGGGCTAATGTCTATGTATGCTAAGACTATTATAGGAGAAACGTCTTTTGGCAGACGATTACTAACGTCCCATGGCACAAACCAGGGAAAAGTCCCCGTGGACTGCCAAAAAGAAAAGGAAAAAAAAGTTTGCTTTAAACGTGTACTGAGGTTAGGGTATGTGGTTTTTCTCTTCGTCTAGAAGACTTTCTGTTTGTCTGAAAATATTGTCTCGGGCGTGTCATTAATAAAAACTAAACAGAGAAATCAGATGGATGTTATGGTTTTTTTTTTTTTTTTAACCTCTAAACACCAACAGATGTTGAATTATTTGAAAACTGTAATCTTTTTTTTTTTTTTGGCATCACATTTAACAAATTAACTGCTATCGACATTTGTTTTTGTTTCTGTTTATAATTCGTGTCATTTGGGCCGTGAAACAATTTACTCTGTTTATGTGGGTCACGGGTGTAGAAATGTTGTAGAACACTGGCATTTATAATTTAAAAAAAAAAGAAGAATCACCAGAAATAAAAACGTCGACAACCAGGCTGAATAGTTATGTGTCGCTTGTTTCGGCAGAATGTCTTCATGTTAATTGTTCGGCCATTGTTTCCCCTCTGAACTCATGTACCAAGGACTTACGCTTTAGACCAGTGTTTCTAAGTCACGGTGCCTTTTTTCAATAAAAAATTTTCCACGGCGCCCTAACCTAAGTATGTAACTCGTGTATCTTCAAACATTTCGCAACACCCCTGTGAAGAGGTAGCGGCTCCCCGGGGCGCCGCCGTGCACAGTTTGGAAATCATTGCTTTAGTCAATAATTAGCTGCGTATCCTTTACAGAACGTTGTAAAACCAACCCCATATGTGTCTTTCTAGGCAAGTTTACGTTCAGTAGTTTGCCATTGCGTCCGGACGGTCGGCTTTTCGATACTACTGTCGGCACCAACGCAAGGCGCAAGGCCCTCAGCTGGGATCGAACTCGGCACCCCACATTACGAAGTATGTTCACAATCTCAAGCCACAGACGTTAGATAATAGAAGATCATCATAAATAAAGACGTAAACAAACAGACTGACAGACTGTGGACCTTAATTTATGCAGAATGTCTCTTGGTTGGTGGATCAATGTTTCTCTTCAGGGTTTGAGTCCGTAGAGTTATCACCTCATCAATGAGTGTCAAACAGAAACAGATCACAGAAACACTGTTCAGCCGTGCATCACATTTATATTAGAGCAACCTTACGCTTACCAAGTCACTGGCGGTCAAATCTAGGGATGGGAAAGGAGAACAAACTTCTTCTTCTCCTCCTCCTTCATCATCTTCTTCTTCTTTTGTTTTCTTCTTCTTCTTCTTCTTCTTCTCTTCTTCTTCTTCTTTCTTCTTCTTCTTCTTCTTCTTCTTCTTCTTCCTAAGATTATTATTAATTATTATTATTATCTGTAAACTCTGGCGGAAAGTTTCTATTGTTAATCCACCTATGGACTTTAAACTTGTTCCAGAACCTGAATGTTGCGTGCACATCCGTTTTACACATCTGACTTATTTGAATGCAGACTGTCGGTTCCTTGCCTCTCAGGTTGTGTACTCCGACTTCGAATAAAACACCCAATCACTCAGTAGTAGACTCTTACAACAGGCTTGCTGGGGAGGCAGTGGGTCTTTTCTTGTCCCCCCCCCCCCCCCCCCCCACGATAGGACCCCGGAACACACAGGGGAAAAGGGGGGGGGGGGACTTTTAAAAAAACTGGAACTAGAGGATTGAATTCAACCTTCACCTTTCCTTGTTTTCACCACTAGAGCTGTCGAGGTTCTGGAAGGTCAAGGATGTTATAATGACCCCGACGACCAGCAGGAAGCTTCCGGACACCACGTAACACAGTGAGTTGCCGAGCAGGTAGGTGCAGGGGTTGGCGGCACTCGGGTAACGGCTGGACTCAATTTCCGAGGGTCGGCGCCATCTGACCACAGTCTGCATCATTGGCGACACCTGCAGACAGAGATGGGACAGAAGTAAATGGTGAGTGAGATGCTGAGAAATGGACACACATAGAGGTAGATAGTACCCGTGTGAGCTCGTGGGTCACGTAGTTGGCGAAACCAAGAATCGAAACCTGGCCTACCCAGCAAGCATGTCTTTTAAGTCGACTAACTGGGGGCATACTTTGAAGTCCGGCTGCATCAGCCTGAGTTGAGTTGAGTCCAGAATTGACATCACAGCACTCTGGGAATTTCCCTGCGTGCTTCGTCCAGCCAACGCAGTTCCAATACTGATGGTACCGGTCACAATCTGGTCATATGTCTGTCTTGCCTTTCCTCTGAGTTTAGTGAGCCGGCCAGACCCTCGGGTTACACACAGGTACCTCATTATCTCCAGGCCATAATAATCTTGTTTCTCTACTGATTCCGTTGCTTGTTCCCAAAGAGCCTTGATCACATCTTCCGTGTCATGTATCAGTTCACCACCATGTGGTGCAGATCCAGCCAAACTGTTGGCCTGTTTAATACCCACCACGCCTGCATGGCATGGATAAAAGATCCAAAGTATGCTCACTACCCGTGACCTTCCCAGTGAAGCATGCCACTCTGCTCGAATCATCCATGTCTTCACCTTTCTCAGTATGCTTTCAGAGTCGGTTGCAATTATGACATGTGTATGCATCTTGTTCTCTAGCCACTGGAGAGCTGCAGTTACCGCCTTCACCTCCATTCTCATGCTAGATGTTGTAGTGTAGTATTCTGGGCTGTCTTACACTAAAGATTTTCCATTGGCTTTCGCTGCGAACCACCAGGCACTTCCTCTCAACAACGAACCATCTTTATAGAAAATCAGATCACCTGGGCGTGAATTGTCGTGAACAACTGTTGGACTTCCATCTCCGTAGCACCCGCTGGCCACTCTCTGCACTCCCGGCCCAATGTGATCTGCCTGAGAGGCATTGAACCAAGAGTCTGCATACGAATGAGCCAGGTTTTGGAATATGACTAACTTCTAGAGACATAATTTTCTGCCGGAATTTACAACTGGAAAACACGAAGAAGAAGAAGAAGAAGAAGAAGAAGAAGAAGAAGAAGAAGAAGAAGAAGAAGAAGAAGAAGAAGAAGAAGAAGAAGATCTATGCTTCAGTGGACTATTAAGAAAGAAAGAAAGAAAGAAAGAAAGAAAAGAAAGAAAGAAAGAAAGAAAGACAAAAAAAGAAAAGAAAGAAAGAAAGAAGAAGAAGAAGAAGAGGAAGAGGAAGAGGAAGAAGAAGAAGAAGAAGACGAAAAAGAAGAAGAGAAAGAAGAAGAAGAAGAAGAAGAAGAAGAAGAAGAAGAAGAAGAAGAAGAAGAAGAAGAAGAAGAAGAAGAAGAAGAAGAAGAAGAAGAAGAAGAAGAAGAAGAAGAAGAAGAAGAAGAAGAAGAAGAAGAAGAAGAAGAAGAAGAAGAAGAAGAAGAAGAAGAAGAAGAAGAAGAAGAAGAAGAAGAAGAAGAAGAAGAAGAAGAAGAAGAAGAAGAAGAAGAAGAAGAAGAAGAAGAAGAAGAAGAAGAAGAAGAAGAAGAAGAAGAAGAAGAAGAAGAAGAAGAAGAAGAAGAGGAGACAGAAAGACAGACAAGCAAACAGGTTGATACCAGCCTGATGGATGGTTAGATAGATGGATCGGTGAGTAGACACAGACAGATGGGTGGACAGGCTGATAAATGGGTAGACACCGAGATAGACGAACGAGTAAGTGGATGGATGTTTGGATGGATGTATGGATCGATAGACAGGGAAAGAAACTGAAGGTACTGCATATATTAATATTAAATGAGACAACGCCAATGCTACATAAAAAATTCTATACACCCCATCCTATATCATAGGAAGTTGTAAATAGTTTGAACAACGGATCAACATCATGGCACACGGGTAGTGACTCATAAGTGATCCGTATTTTCTTCTAACTCAAGCCTGTGTCCGAAGAATCTCAGCACATTGCACAGGCTCTGTAGCACCGACGAGGATCTTGAAATACTTTAGGTAGGCTTTTAACTCTAAATTTTGCCCCGGCTGCGCCGTTAGGCTACTCTTTTAAATTTCCAACTGCTAAGGGATTTTTTTTACATGCGCAACAATGCACACGGGTGTCTGATCTAACTACCCAGAGACAGGGAGAATACTAGAAGTCCAAGTCGACCTGAAAAAACACCAGCCTTTGCCGAGGAGTGAACCTGGAACCTCAAGCACTCGAGGCGGACAATATGTCTTGAGACCCTGCACCCCCCCCCACCCCCCCCCCCCCCCCCCCCCCCCCCCTTTCTCCCCACGCAGTTGAAAACAGAACTCGGGACCGTCTGCACTAACGTACTAGCCACGTGTACTCTGCTGTTTTTGTCAGGTCAAGAGGACAAGGTCAATATTGTTTGTTTAACAAGACTCCTTAGGCTTTTTTAGGGTAGGCCTTTTTTTATTTGTTTTTTTTTTTTTAATTTATTTGTTTGTTTGTTTAGTTATGTATTTTTTATTTTTTTTATTTATTTATTGTGTCTTCGTTTACAAAATCTTTATACCGTCTTCATATCATTGTTGACACGAAGACACTTACAGGTGGTTGTAATGTTGCTTTAAATAAAGATAACGTCCGGGTATGACTGACAGAATTGTGGAAGTCCCTAATAGCACGGGTTTCACGGGGAGATGGTGAAAAAAGAGATCTGAGCAAGTCACGTGTGAATGCGATATCTGGGGGATTGAGAATGAGGTGATCATTCGGTGACTGGGCTCCAGTTTGAAAGGAAGTGAAGTTGAATCCGAAACGACAAGTGTACACGCTGATCTGGATGAGAATCGAGTGAATTTTAGTCCTGAATGACAATTTATTATTGTTTAGGCCAACAGTTGTGCTCCCTGGCCTATTGGTTATGCCAGTCGTGTACACACCAGTGTCCATCGTCTGAAGCGTGGCTGGAGACTTAGAGCGTGAGCAAGGCGAGATTGCCCGAATGGCGTAAGTGATTAGTTCTACTGTTGATTCTTGTCGCTAGTCTTGCATTGACAATAAACCTGTGAAGTGCTGTAGCACAGCTCTCTTCTTCGTTGCGTATGTTCTTGTCACACCCAGGTTCGTCTTTAGATTTTGCTACAGGAGGAGTGGATTGGAAGATTATAGACGAGGAGAAAGATGGTCGTGTCGATAGTGGTTATGATGATGATGATGTCTTCCTAGCTGCATGCTTCTCACGTGACTCTGATGCTTGTATAACAAAATGTCTGGAAACAACTGTTCTCGTCTGTACTGTCTTTATTGTGTTACTTCAGCAATGTCACAAATAACATCAATGATATTCTAAATAGTGCTGTGTTCTCTCTATGGCTAAATACTCGTAGGTTCGCGTTGTGTTCTCTAGTTGCTTTGTTAACGGGTTTTCTAGTGTCTCCACTGCCACCTGGCTTCTAGTGCTGTTTGGTACTAAACAGCTTGATCGTCGACTCTAACATCTCTATAGTGTTCCTAATATGTCTCTGTTGACCATGGATCCATGTATATCTTGTGTGTCGTCTCTGTAGCTCGATGTCTCGTTTCATGTCTGCTCTCCAGTGACTGTCTTCTAGGTTCAATATGAACGGCTGCTCTGCTTCCAGTGTTGAGCTGGCATCAAGGATCATTGAGACTAGTCGCTCGTCCTCTGAGTCTCAACGACTGAAAGCTTCTAGTTCGTCGACAGTCATTTAAAGTTGTGTGACAGGTGGAGAGAAGAGCAGTTTGGCTGGAATGAACTGTGACATAACACCTAGACAACAGAGACAGTGTTAAATCTGCACAGAAGAGATTAAGTGCGGAGGAGACACATTACAATGATCTTAATTTTTCTCCTGTCTCCACATTGCTTTTTTTTTTTTTTTTACAATATATATTTGTATGATCCACTCAAGTGGTATCCTGAAAATAATAATTATTAATAGTATCAGAGACATTATCTGTAACTAAATTTCTAAGTTCCCTGTCATTATCATCACTCTGGGCTATACATCTCTCCAAAAATGCTTCTCCTTTCTCGTCTGTTGTCATATCATTATCAGTGTATATAATGCCGGCTGTAATAGGCTGATCCTTCCGTTGCATCTGTCTGTGTAGTTTCCCAAAACCTACCCGGTAATTTATCCCCTCAATTTTCGCTCCTGAAATGTTCCCATTTAGCCTTCTCTGCATCTGCTGCACGCCGCTTGAACTCTTCTACTTTTTTTCTGTTCTAACTCTTTCGTTCTAACTCTTTCTAGCTTCTCTGCATCTTCTTGTAACCTGTAAGGTGTCTTTCGCACTTTCTGTAATTACTTAACTGCTGTCGCTTTGCTCTCCATGCTTGTTCTACTTCCTGGTTCCGCCATGGAGGCTGCACAAAAGCAGAGGTGGTGGTTCTGCTGCATTATCTATCTGTATACCCTGAATCTCTAGTGTACTATGATTCCACTGGCCCAGGTCAAGAACCACATACTTCACCCTATTCTTCACCAGCAGACATTGCCCATGTCTTCCCTGTCCGGTAGAATTTATGTAACTAATGTATCCATGTCACTAATACCTGTCTATGTTTATTTCCTGAACCATGATAAGATCAGTAATACATCAGCCTCTCCAGCACAGGAACTCTCTTCCTTGCACCACAATTCCGGTAATCCACTCTAACATGCTTTAATGCTAGACGCTCCGTTTTTCGCCAGACTCTCTGGGCTACCGCTCTATGCCTTCTTCTCTCTCCATTCCCTCGTCTTCTCCCTCTCTCTCTCTCTCTCTCTCTCTCTCTCTCTCTCTCTCTCTCTCTCTCTCTCTCTCTCTCTCTCTTCTAAGATAAAAAACATTAAAGTAGATCAGGCATATAAACTCTCAAATCAACATAGGATAACAAACACTAAATTCTGAATAATCAACCTACTCGTGTATGTCAATTTGCTTTGAGCGCGAATACACTGTGCGGATCGGAAGGTCGTGGGTTCGCTTCCTGGCGGAGCCAGACTTT